TTGCTTTGAACACAACTTTCCTGCTTCTTGGACTAGAAGGCCCACAAGGTCTCTTCCAACTCTATGATTCTATGAATCTATGAATCTATAGTAAGGGACTGTAAGAGTCTTACTCCAAAATATCTTGGAATAGCAATCCTTACTCCAAAAGAGCTTGGGAAAGTTTATATTTTTAAACTACAATTCTCAGAATTCTCTCTCCTGCCGGTATGGCCAAGATCATCTGATAAGGTGAATGCTACATTCCAGCTTGGTGTACAATATCTGTTTCTCTGCTTCCTAGGGATCTAAAAACTGGCACCCTGATTCAGCATATGGAAGTCATGCCTAATGTTGCTGTCATGAATCTAACCTTTTGCCAGGAAGGCCGAGGCCTGGAAGACAGTAGTTCAGAGATAGGCAGGAGAGCTAAGAGGCAAGAGGGAGGAGTCAGCCGACTCCTGATTGGCTAGAGCAGTCAGGGGAGGAGTTAGGTTTTAGAGGGGGAAAAGGCTGTGTCTTTTTGACAAGCGGGGAGTAGAGCTTTAAACATCGTAGAGTGAAGAAGTATTTTAGGAAGAGGGAGCTGAGAAGAATTTAGACAGGGAGAGAGAACTTTTGTAGTGAGCCTTGAGGATTAGAGCATAGGGAAGGCAAAGGTTCCTGTGTCACTGTACTTAGAAGGGTCAGTGAAGGAAAGCCTATTTTGCTCTGTGAGGCARCCAGTGGGCTGTTCTCAGGGACACACTGTGTCAGTGTAGTGAACAGTGTGAAGCAAGGAACTCACTGGGAAYAAAAGTTAAAGTCTTTAWGRAAAGACTGCTTGTCTAACCAGCTAAGCCTCAGTAACCACATTACGCTTTTGTACCACTCTTTTTAAGAGTTGATTTGTTCACCAAGTTTAAATAAACCTATTTCTAATTTTCATCTTTAAATTGGTGTCTGCCTCGGTCTGTCACAATCATTAGACCTCAGTTAGCCTGAAGACAACTTAATTTCAGTCCAGTCAGTAAGAGAAGCAGCAACTACAGAAGAACCAAGGGCTTGAACAAACTTTGCCTATTTCACATTCACACTTATGTTTTCCTCAGACATTAAGGGAGGTGGTGGCGGCGAATCTATCAATTACATCGGCAATTAACATTGTTAACGTAGTTGGTCACTGAATAATATTACTGAGGTGGGATAAGAGAGTCTTTCCCCCTTGTCATAGTTGTTTATCCTTGTTAAAGTAGTGTCCAGCTGAACGTTAAACCCTTCACCCTGTTGGGCAGTAGTGGATTGTATTTGTCCCCCCTGCCTGAGATTACGTTGATCTCCGTTATACTGGTGGCAGCGGTGGGATTTGTATTCCCCCCTGCCCAAGATTGTCATCGATCTTTATTACATTGGTGGCAGCGGTGGGATTGTTTGTCCCCCCTGCCCAAGATTTCTTTGATCTTTGTTATACTGGTGGCAGCGGTGGGATTTGTATTCCCCCCTGCCCAAGATTGTCGTCGATCTTTATTACAGTTGCTGAGCCCATTATATAAGTAAATTTTGCACTAATTTCTTTCATTTTAGTGCAATTTTGATGCTTCCCCTGTCTGATGAGTTGAAGTGATGGGCACCTGTAGCTATTGGCCCACCCTTCCCTTCCCATCACATGGGAAGGAGGATGGTGGGTGCATGGTTAACCCCATGGCCTTCCTCTCCCTGCTGTAATGTTAACAAAGTAACATTTCATTAGCTCTCATCTGGAGACTCGGGGGTTCTTCTATTCCTGATGGAGGGAAAGAAATCATAACAAGACTCAAAACTACTACAGGAACTGGAATATATATGCGGTAGGTTTGAAATGTCAGTAGAAGGGAAGTTAAGAGGCATTATATGTATATGAAATGAAGCAATTCTTAAACAAGCATATTCAAAACTAAACAAATAATACACTTTTTAGAGTATTAAAAGCCCCATGAATAAAATTGTTTTCATAGTTTCAGTAAGTGATAAGAGTTTTGATCTCAGTGAGTAAAGCTCAGTGTTGGTCTGGAAACTGCATTAACCCTCATGCTATAGTGGAAGCATCCTGGAGCTAGATTACAGATCTGAAATGGATGATAGCACACTGCTATTACTGTAATGGTGATCATAATTCCATTTCTTAGGCACTGCTTGCCTTTTTCAAATATGTACAAAACTATGTAATTTACTCCTTTACCATTTTAGTTACTGTAGATGGCATATTTATTCATTATTCCCTCACTTCTGCCTTCCAAACTGTTCACGCAGAGAATTATGTGTATCATTGTTTCTATAATAGGAATGGGGATGGAGGAAGCAAGACTTCTCTCCCTCCTTCATTATCCAATTCCAAAAGCTACACATTATAAACAACACAAGACTGAATAATAATAGTTATCGTATACAATATTTATTGATTTACAGTATAAATACCATACCCACAAGTTCATATGCCCACATTTGAGAAAATATTCCTCTCTAGGAATTTCCTAGGTTGTCCAAGTGATTCTATATCATAATTCTGCTAGAAGATACCCTTAAATTCCTAGATAGGATACCTCTAGGGCCCCTTCCAGACAGGCCCTATATCCCAGATCCCAGGATATAGGGCCCTAGGAATGTTCTAGGTCCTCCAACATGACTCTGTGATAGCTTCCAGGAGAAGTCATTCATTTCAATATAGTTTGTTATTATCCATTGTGTCTTGTTTCCACGGGAAGTCAGGAACGTGTCCCACACAGATACAGGGGTTGAACTGTCATTGTTTTATATTCCTTTTTCTCCCAACAGTAGAAGCCGTTTAAAAATAAAATCTACAGGCTCATCAGACTTGCTTTTTAAAGTGGACACCCCCACATTCTTGGTGTCTTCTGCCTCCTGCAGAACTCTGGAAAATGTCGTTTAGGGCAGGCCTTTAGAATTCCCAGCTAGAGAGGTCCTTGCCTTCCCAAATTACATTTCCCAGAGTTCTGCAGAAGGAAGAACACACTAAGAATGTGGGGGTGTCTGCTTTAAAACAGTAGTCTGATGAAGCCCCTAGTGGGGAAGAACAACTTCCCCAATCTAAAGCCAGCCTAAATACATAGATCTTTACCTGTTAGCAGAAGGACCCCATCTGCAAACAGCCTGGGAACAGACACCAAGAAAGCCCTCTCTTTGTTAAAGCCCAAACATGCCTTTGATGGAGACACACAAAAAAGAAGTCTTCCCCTAAAAATCTTAAAACCTCTGTAGGCTCATATCAGGAGATTTTTATCTGAGACATTTTGATGGTGGTATGTAAAAACGATATGATACATTTACTATGCATACAATACTTTTCTAACATCCAAGCATTTTAACAACTTGATCTCATTCCTCCAACTTCAGAAGGATAGAGGAGGAGAGAAGAATTATTTATCCCAAACTGTACAGATGTTTCAACACCTTATTGGGGAAGGAAGATGCTAAGGATCAGTGCACTGAAATATGGGGGACAACAGTTCCCAGAATCCTACAACTTGCATCTTCACTGGCTGAGGATTCTAGGAGCATTAGTAAAAAAAAAGTAACTTTCTTGAATTGTGGATTCCCTCTTGGCCAGCCATATGGGCTGGGAAGGGTGTGTGCCTGACACTGCTGTGAACTGTATGGGAAACTGTGGGCCAAATGAGGCAATTAGGCCAGATACCATCTTCTTCTCGTATGTGAGGAACAGAAGTTTCAAAATTTTGCACTGAAAGGACAAAGGATGAGGAAATGGAATATATGAGTCCCAGGCTAATGAGTTCAAAGCATATGTTTGATCTGACCCTCACATCATCTGCATACTTCAAAGTAAGCCTGTTTGAATACAACAGGCCTTGCATAAAAAACAAGCAAATAAGTCATAGAGGCCATTGTTCAATTGCAAATTAAGTTTTCTGAGAAACTATCATAGACAAAGTTACTACTGCTGCCTAACACAAGTAATGGTGCTTTGTCAAGGCTTATGAATTGGAAGCATACATTCTTTGAATTTAAGCCCTTTTACACTGTTATCCTTATTAAAAGAGTAGGCACAGGACTAATCTGATGCTTATGTATGTCTGTTTCCTTATCTTCATTTAACTAAATTGTTTGAGATAATAATAATAATAATAATAATAATAATAATAATAATAATATATTTATATACCATCCCACATCTCTGAAGGGACTCAGGGATGAGGATAAATGCATTGAATCCATGTCACCAGAAAAGAGATGAGGAGAACAAGCTGTAGATTAAATTTAAAGTTTGTTTTCTAACAAATGTACACCGAACTACCTTTCTTCGGAAATTCAAAAGGAATGAAAAAGGTTTCCTGCAGGGGTTGGGATAAAGCTAAAAGCACCCAGGAGGTGAGCAACAAACTCTTTGACAATACAAAGTTCATCATTTCCCCTCAAAAAATAATTCTGGTGTAGGCTTTTATTGTGAAAGCCAAGTGCTTTTCACTGTCCATGGTTGGCAGCAAAGAAAAACCACTAAAACAGATGAATCAGATCAAGACAATGAATGAGCCAAATTAAACATTCCTCTGGAGTTCTGTGATGGTTTTTCCAACTTCCCAATGAAACCTTGTTATATGGAAATCGAAGTAGACAAGGTGATATGGATCTGGGATCCATTGTAGGGAGAATTGAACTATGTGACCTGAACCAATTTTCCCTCCTATCATTGATTTAAGTCAGTGCTTGTTCTACAATGTTTCCCCATGACTCATGACAAATAGACAGAGCCCAAAAATGTAGCAGAAGGGAGGGTCAAACACATCCATCCCTCCTCCCCCCCACCCCCAAACACACACGCAAATGGCTCCTGTTCAGACTGCAGCTGCCTTTGAAGGGGGCGGGAGAGAAAATTAAGTTAAAAGTCCCAGTCCCAGAACTCCAACTTAATGTGTACTTTGGCCTTGACTTGTGCTATTTTTGAAGCAAAATTGTGACAGCTGTCATCTGTTAAATACCCTGTGAAAATTAGCACAGAGCTTAGTTAGCAAGCAATTAGCGTTTCTTACCTTTAATCTTTCTGTTACACCATCAGTGAAACTGACTGTGAATTCAGCAATTTTGGGCACCCTGAGTTTTCCTTTGTTCTTCTGATCTGGCTGATATTCTGTTCTTGTTTTCACAATCACCTGAAAGTAAAGGTGGACAGGTTAATATTTCAAAACAAAGTAAGTAGGTTCTTTCCCCCTTTAAGTCCCCCTTAAGTAATCACCCCAAATAATGGCATGGATGTGAACTCTTCAATATCACAATCAGATAAGCACACAAGCTAATTGTTATGATTTGGCAGGAACAGTCTTGATTAATTTTCTGTCATCCTACGGTTTCAACTGCTTTTATAATATCGTTTTTCTCTCCTCTTTCCACTTCCCTCCTTTGTTCTTAGCTTACTACGGCCCCTTCCAGACAACTATATAAAATCCACATTGAACTGGATTATATAGCAGTATGGACACAGATAATCCAGTTCAAAACAGATATTGTGGATTATCTGCCTTGATATTCCGGGTTATATGGCTGTGTGGAAGGGCCCTACAATGGTTACAAATTGACTTCAAAGGACAAAAGTAGGTTGCACAGTTGATTCAGCAGAGGGGAGGAGAGAGGGAGGAAAGAGAAGTGCCTTGTCCTTCCCAGTAGGCTCAGGTAAAAGCAAACTACTATAACCTATCCTGGCTTGTGTGCTCTTCTTCATTAATAAATTTGCTATCTTGACCACATTCTGATGTTGCTTTCCCACATGTCCTGGTTTTCAACTATGAAATGTTGGGGGGCGTGAGTAAATATGTCATCAGAACCTGATGACATTTGTCTTGAATGGACAAATACAGCACAAGTGATATAGATTATGCTCAAGAGATTCCTAATTGTTTGGTCCCTGTCAAGTGTGAAGAAACAATAAATCGGGTCAGTCCAGGGAAGGAAGATCTGTTGTGTTCACCTTCAATTTCTCTATGCCTTCAGGGTTGCCTAAGTCAATACAACTTAAAGTCATTGGCTGCCAGTCCCTGGCCAAATTTCCAGGAAAGTAAAATGCATTTGTAGCCAGTGGACACAAATGTCCATTAGCTATAATTGCATTTTGCAACTGCATTTTAGCCAATGACATAATACAAAAAGTAACTATCAGTCCCCTACATCAAGCAGTGGACTATATTACTCACACCCTGAACTGTTCTCCTAGCTTTCCAATATCTTCCAGACAATAGTAGGAAATGTGACTTTATCTGATGCTTCAATTAGTGCATATCTTTCTTTTTTGAAAAAACACAAAACCACCCAGGCAGCATGGATAAGGGTTTCTGGGAGATATACGGGAGTCCCAAGCCCAGTTGTATTCCTGCATTGTTTCTGAAATAACTGTATCCTGCCTTCGTTAGACCAAAGTAAGATGTATTTACCTGTATTACCAAAACTGACATCATCACCTTCTTTAACAATTGCTTCAAGGTGCTGTGTTCTGACCAACAAGGCCAATGTCTAATTCACTTAAGGGTGAAAGTAAGTATTACTTGGAGCACCTGATCAAAATGGACCCCTACCCTTCTCTCATATTCTGCATCTTTCTCCCGTATTCTGGCTTCATTCCACATTTCCATCTGGGCAGCCAATGGTACGGAACATTGAGTAGAAAAATGTGTAATCTATCTATATAAAATGTAATGTTAGTTTGTAGGATTAACATAACTCAAAAACTACTGAGCAAACTGACACCAAATTTGAACACAATACACCAACAAGTGACCATCACTCATAAAAACCCTGAAAAGCACAGCATAAGGGACTTTAAAAGACAAAAAATAAAAAATACATTACAATGCACACGCAAAATTACATATTTATTTATTTTTATTTATTTCCGTCACTTTTACCCCGCCCTTCTCACCCCCAAGGGGGGACTCAGGGCGGCTTACAGAGAAAGGCACAATTCGATGCCTTGTCACATATACATACATATATAAAAGCAATTAAACAATTACAAATTAAAAATTAAATCATCAATACAAAACAATACAATAAACACAGTAGTAGGCTAATCCTGAGCTCAGCGTTCGGAGTTCCGTAGATCCATTCCGTCTTGTCAAGTTCCAGCTCGTCATCAAGTCTTTCTTTAGCTGCCAGAATGACCAAATGCCTGGTCCCATATCCAGGTTTTCAACTTTTTCCTAAATGAAAGAAGGGACGTTGCCGATCTAATCTCCCCGGGGAGTGAGTTCCACAGGTGGGGGGCCACCACCGAGAAGGCCCTGCTCCTCGTCCCCGCCAATCTCACTTGTGATAGAGGCGGGGTCGAGAGCAGGGCCTCCCCAGAGGATCTTAGGTTCCGAGGTGGGACGTAGAGGGAGATCCGTTCGGACAGATACACTGGGCCGGAACCATATAGGGTTTTGTAGGTCAAAACCAGCACTCTGAATTGTGCTCGGAATTGGATCGGCAGCCAGTGGAGCTGACACAACAGGGGGGGGGTGTGCTCCCTGTATGTCGCTCCGGTGAGCAATCTGGCTGCCTCCCTGGACTAGTTGAAGTTTCTGAAAGTCTTCAAAGGCAACCCCACGTAGAGTGCGTTGCAGTAATCTAATCGGGATGTAACAAGAGCGTGGACCACCGTGGCCAAATCCGACTTCCCAAGGTACGGGCGCAGCTGGCGCACAAGTTTTAATTGTGCAAAAGCTCTCCCGGCCACCGCTGAGACCTGGGGTTCCAGGCTCAGCGATGAGTCCAGGATCACTCCCAAGCTGCGAACCTGCGTCTTCAGGGGGAGTGTAACCCCGTCTAACACAGGCTGTAACCCTATGCCCTGTTCGGCCTTATGACTGACCAGTAGGACCTCTGTCTTGTCTGGATTCAATTTCAATTTGTTAGCTCTCATCCAGTCCGACACAGCAGCCAAGCACCGGTTCAAGGTCTGGGCAGCCTCCTTGGTGACAGGTGGGAAGGAGTGACAGATTTGGACATCATCTGCATAGAGATAACACCTCATTCCGAAACTCCGAATGATCTCCCCCAGCGGCTTCATGTAGATGTTAAATAACATCGGGGACAGAATTGAACCCTGTGGGACTCCACACAACAACGGTTGTGGGGCCGAACAGGTGTCACCCAGTAACACCTTCTGGGATCGTCCCTCAAGGAAGGATCGGAGCCACCGCAGAGCAGTGCCTCCGAGCCCCATGTCCATGAGGCGCCCCAGAAGGATACCGTGATCGACGGTATCGAAGGCCGCTGAGAGGTCCAGCAGAACTAACAGGGACACACTCCCCCTGTCAAGCTCCCTGCGAAGATCATCTACCAAGGCGACCAAGGCTGTCTCAGTTCCATGTCCCGGCCTAAAGCCAGACTGTGCCGGATCTAGATAATCAGTGTCTACCAGAAACCCCTGGAGTTGTGCTGCCACCACACGTTCCATGACTTTGCCCAAATAGGGAAGATTGGAGACTGGCCGATAGTTGTCAATTGAGTGGGATCCAGTGATGGTTTCTTCAACAGCGGTTTTATAGCTTGGAAACTTTCCCTCCTGTAAGGAGGCATTAACCACCACCTTCACAACCCACTATGCCCCAAACCCCCTCTGGCCTTCCTTTTTTCAGCAGCAGGGTGAGGCAGAGCCGACTACCAAAGGATCCATAAGTCAACACATCGAACTCAAGCAATCTGAACCCATTTAAGAAAAACGAAATCCCAACCTCACAACTGGAATGAAACAAAGCAGATCTGGTCATGACGTTAAAAAGGGATCTACGCCGCACATTATTGACCGAATGTATCACAAAGGAGCCATGGAATCAATTAAAGTTGACCCAAAAACAAGCTACAGACAGGTGACTCCCGATCGACGATTCTTCATCTTTGTTGATTTGCAATCTTTATAGTTTTCTTTGTTTCTGTTTCCTTTTTCCCTTTATTATTATTCTATTTGTTATTTTATTTTTTCTCTGTTTTCTTTTTTTTCGTGATGAATGTTGTCTGAGCTGCCGTTATTGCCACACCGTAGGACCTTAAGAAGGCATTCAGGTGTGTTTGGGCTGGATTGGTGGGGTTCTGGCGCCACACGCACTCTAGCCTCCTCTTCTTTCGCTTCATCGCTGCCAGCTCCTCAGTAAACCAAGAGGCTGGTTTAGCTCGGTTACTCGAGAGGGGACGTTCCGGAGCGATTGTGTCAATTGCCCTGGTCAACTCACTGTCCCAGCGAGAGACCAGAGCATCGACAGAGTCGCCTGCCAAGGAGGTGGAAAAATCCCCAAGAACCGTCAGAAAACCATTTGGATCCATAAGTCTCCTGGGGCGGACCATTCTAATGGGTCCACCACCCCTGCGGAGGTTAGAAGGCACAGTTAGTCTAAATCTGATCAGGTGGTGATCGGTCCATGGCAATGGAGCGATGGACAGCTCCTCCAATCCGTCACCCTCATCCCATCCCTGCGCAAAAACCAAATCCAAAGTGTGCCCGGCACTATGGGTGGGACCAGATATTAGTTGGGACAGGCCCATGGTTGCCATGGCGGCCATGAAGTCCTGAGCCGCACCCGAGAGAGAGGCCTCGGCATGGACATTGAAATCTCCCAGGACCAAAAGCCATTGGGAGCTCAAGGCCATGTCCGAGACCACTCCCGCTAGCTCAGGTAGGGAGACTGTAGTGCAGCGGGGTGGTCGGTACACTAACAGAATCCCTATCCTGTCCCGGTCACCTATCCTAAAGCCGGCACATTCAAACGAAGATGTTTGTGGGATGGGACGCCTGATCAAAGGGATAAACTCCTTATAGACCACTGCGACTCCTCCTCCCCGCCCTCCAAGCCTTGGTTGGTGCTGAACAGAGTAACCTGGTGGACAGAGTTGGGAGAGATTAACCCCTCCCCCTTCGTCCAACCAGGTCTCTGTTATACAAGCCAAGTCAGCATGTTCTTCTTGAATTAGGTCTTTAATAATAGCAGTTTTTCCATTTACCGACCTGGCATTGAACAGCACCACCTTTAACCTGGAGGGACCACCATCCTGGCACCTCAGTTGTATCTTATCAGGAGGATGTTTTGAAGCTGCCAATCTATCTTTACTAATTTCGGGCCGAATTGTGGTCTCAATTTTTGGAATTGCCAATGTTCTGTTATAAATTTTTGGCTGGATTTGATTT